AGGCGTCAGGTGAGTTTTCACCATAGGGGGCGCTATGGAGCCATTTTTCATTTTTTTGTTTGGGCGACTTCAGAATATCGAATTTTTCACCAGGCCCGGTCGTCCTGCCAAATTTCCTGAGTTTTCGCCAGTGGGAAGTGGGCCATTTTCCAGTTTAAAGCGGAGGAAAAATAACGAAAGAAGAATCCATCAGGAACAAGAGGGCTCTCGCAGCTGCTTAGCAGCTACGCTCGGGCCCTAAATAACAAAAGAAGAATCCATCAGGAACAAGAGGGCTCTCGCAGCTGCTTAGCAGCTACGCTCGGGCCCTAAAAAACCACTTGGGGAATAATAGGGCCTACGCCCGGCTGCTCTGCAGCTGGCTCGGGCCCTAATAACACTAGGACCCCGTTGGGGCACTGGCGGGCCCGAGCTGTGTCGCGTCCCCCCCCCAACGCGCTGCCTCCCCGTCCCATTTGTGTCCTCTGGCCATCGCCCTCTTTGGTAACGCCCATCACTGCAAAGACCCTTTTCCTTCATCGGCGTTTGCTGTTCTTCCTGCCAGTGCGTGTTGCTTTCACTTACACTTGCCACAGCCAGCCTCGTGAGTGCCTAGCCTATTGGATATCACTGTCACCTACACAGGACAGTCATTACCTTTCTATTAATACTTTGTTTTTTAATTTCACATTAATTTCCAAATTGTATAAACGACTGGAAAAAACTTGAGCCCCTGCCCCTGTATAATCATGTGCACGTCTCTGTTCTAGCTCTAAGGTAAATCTTCACTGCTCATGTTCTCCTCAGAAGCAGTCACCTCACTCCCCTCAGGTTACTGTACACATGCACCAACTGCCTGCTTCAGGTTTGGATGGAGCTTCATGGTTGTCTTTTGGAGAAATGACCAGTCAAGTTGTGTTTGAAATTTGATTTTTTTCAGGGGCAAAAGGAGCCTCTGCATTCTTGTCAAATATGTAAATAGCATGTTTTTGCAGGTGCTACAAACCAGACTCTGAGTGTGTGTGTGTGCGTGTGTGTCTGTGTGTGTGTGTGTGTGTGTGCGTTCAAGTCACATGACATATTTAACCGGATGTAGCTGCAAGACGGAGCCTCGTTGACTCTCTGTTTCAATTTATCTCAAAAGTGAGGACCTCAACCTATATACCAGTTTTTAAATTGTGTTGATAGGCCAAATAAAACCAGAGTTATGATAAATTATGTCCGCGATACTTGTTTTCTGCTTATTTTGATCACGTTCGGCGCTCGATCGCGCTGTATGAGACAGGAAAACATAGCATGCAGACATTAGCGACAGGTCTTACAGGCGGAAAAGGCTTGCCAAAGGAAAAAAAATACACACCACAACATCTCTCCTATTGGTGGAAAACTTCATCACAACAACCAATCCAAAATTATATGGTGACTGATTGACAAGGGGCGGGAACTTACGTTCTTCCTGCAATATGAGAAGGGAGGGAGGGACTCTCAGCAGGGATGCAGTCTGGGACACGTAGTTGCAAACCTAGCGACTTTGTTGTTAGATTCAATGACTTTTCAGACCCCCTAATGACTTTTTTTTAGAAAGAAAGTGACTTTTATCGACTTCTTCTGGAGTTTAGAGACTCTGACATGAAGCAGGCTTTCCTTACTGAGGAGTTAGCAACGCTGCTAAGGGTGCAGAGCCACACATGCGCTCAGAGCTCTGCATGGGAGACTGAAGCTGACAGAGCTGCAGCAGTTAGCAGGTTTCACCCTCAGAGACCACCAGGGGTTCATGTTGAGGCATTTTAGTTTTTTTTTTTTTTTGTGCCATAGACACTGTCAGCACAATCTGCAGTTACACTAACAAAAATGCTGCAAAAAACAAAGAATTATGGAAAAATTACACATGGACTGACATAGAGGAGGATCTACACAAGTTTTTTACATCATGTTTTACATCATGCATCATTTACATCATGTTTTTTTGTAGTGGCATAAATAAAAAGTGACATTTGTGAGACTATACAGTGTTTTGTAAATAATTTTACAAAGAACGCCTGGGCCATTGCCTGCATTTTGATGTAAATAGAGGTAAATCACTATGTTCTTTGTTAAAAATTTGTATATGTTTTGAAGTTTACAATTTTTATTTGAAGTTTAAGTTTTAAAAACAGTTCATCACACATATTTGTGGTTTTCACAGTAAAAACGTTACTTTTTTCCACTCGGATTTTATGTTTTGTGTGTGAATTTGGGTCCAATGTGTAAATATAGTATGTCAAAATGATAAAATAACTGTAAATTGACACAGGTGAGGTTGTGCTGAAAAAAATGATACCAGGCAAGGCAAGGTAAAAATTTTGTAAGAGGAAATATAAAGGTAAAATCTAAAGTAGTCAAAAACGGCCAATAGTGACTCACAGACTCCACAGACAAGTCCCTTTGGCGCCACTCAGTGGGCAAAACTACTTTGTCTACTGTAATGTATATTTGGGTCATCTTTGGCGCCCCCTAAAACGTAAACCGTGGGGTGCAGCGTCATGATTTTTACAACTTTGAATGGCCATGGAGTGTAGATTGGCCTGAGCAAATTTGGTGTCAGTGGGACGAAAGCCTTAGGAGGAGTTAGCGAAATTCCAATGTGTGCGAATCGGCAAAAAATGCAAAATAGCCCTTTTACCGTACATTATACAGATACGCGCTCTTTGACTTTTTCGTAGATCTAATTGAGATACACATGATTGTCAATTTTTGTGTCATTTTGCCAAAGCGTACAGGCGTGACAGTCAACAATGTGTATTTTCACCTTAGGGGACAAGAAAAAATGGACTTTTTTCTCCTGCCATGGGGGGCGCTCTTTTAGGGAGTAAAAATTCCTTCACAAATGTGTTGATGGCTGGACATTGCATCATCCTAGAAAACTTGGAGGCCAGTGAGGACAAAAATAAAAAGTTATAAGACTTTTAAAAATGTGGATTTTTGGGTTATCTTTGGCGCCCCCTAGAACGTAAACCGTGGGGTGCAGCGTCATGATTTGAATAACTTTTAATGGCCATGGGGTGTAGATTGGCCTGAGCAAATGTGGTGCCGGTGGAACGAAAGCCTTCGGAGGAGTTAGCGAAATTCCAATGTGTGCGGATCGGCAAAAAATGCGAAATAACCCTTTAACCGTACATTAGACAGATACGCGCGCATGGACTTTTTTGTAGATCTTATTGAGATACATGTGTGTGTCAATTTTTGTGTCATTTTGACAAAGCGTACAGGCGTGACAGTCAATAGTGTGAATTTTCACCTTAGGGGACAAGAAAAAATGGACTTTTTTCTCCTGCCATGGGGGGGCGCTCTTTTGGGGAGTAAAAATTCCTTCACAAATGTGTTGATGGCTGGACATTGCATCATCCTAGAAAACTTGGAGGCCAGTGAGGGCAAAAATAAAAAGTTATAAGACTTTTAAATATGTGGATTTTAGGGTTATCTTTGGCGCCCCCTAGAACCTAAACCGTGGGGTGCAGCGTCATGATTTGAATAACTTTTAATGGCCATGGGGTGTAGATTGGCCTGAGCAAATGTGGTGCCGGTGGAACGAAAGCCTTCGGAGGAGTTAGCGAAATTCCAATGTGTGCGGATCGGCAAAAAATGCGCAATAACCCTTTAACCGTACATTTGACAGATACGACCGCACTGACTTTTTTGTAGATCTTATTGAGATACATGTGTGTGTCAATTTTTGTGTCATTTTGACAAAGCGTACAGGCGTCAGGTGAATTTTTCACCTTAGGGGGCGCTATGGAGCCATTTTGCATTTTCTTGTTTGGGCGACTTCAGAATATCAAATTTTTCACCAGGCCCGGTCGTCCTGCCAAATTTCATGAGTTTTCGCCAGTGGGAAGTGGGCCATTTTCCAGTTCAAAGGGGAGGAAAAATAACTAGGACCCCGTTGGGGCACTGGCGGGCCCGAGCCGTGTCGCGCCCCCCCCCCAACGTGCTGCCTCCCCGTCCCATTTGTGTCCTCTGGCCATCGCCCTCTCTGGTAACGCCCATCACTGCAAAGACCCTTTTCCTTCATCGGCGTTTGCTGTTCTTCCTGCCAGTGCGTGTTGCTTTCACTTACACTTGCCACAGCCAGCCTCGTGAGTGCCTAGCCTATTCGATATCACTGTCACCTACACAGGACAGTCATTACCTTTCTATTAATACTTTGTGTTTTAATTTCACATTAATTTCCATATTGTATAAACGACTGGAAAAAACTTGAGCCCCTGCCCCTGTATAATCATGTGCATGTCTCTGTTCTAGCTCCAAGGTGAATCTTCACTGCTCATGTTCTCCTCAGAAGCACTCACCTCACTCCCCTCAGGTTACTGTACACATGCACCAACTGCCTGCTTCAGGTTTGGATGGAGCTTCATGGTTGTCTTTTGGAGAAATGACCAGTCAAGTTGTGTTTGAAATTTGATTTTTTTCAGGGGCAAAAGGAGCCTCTGCATTCTTGTCAAATATGTAAATAGCATGTTTTTGCAGGTGCTAAAAACCAGACTCTGAGTGTGTGTGTGTGTGTGTGTGTGTGTGTGTGTGTGTGTGTGTGCGTGTGTGTGTGTCTGTGTGTGCGTTCAAGTCACATGACATATTTAACCGGATGTAGCTGCAAGACGGAGCCTCGTTGACTCTCCGTTTCAACTTATCTCAAAAGTGAGGACCTCAACCTATATACCAGTTTTTAAATTGTGTTGATAGGCCAAATAAAACCAGAGTTATGATAAATTATGTCCGCGATACTTTTTTTCTGCTTATTTTGATCACGTTCGGCGCTCGATCGCGCTGTATGAGACAGGAAAACATAGCATGCAGACATTAGCGACAGGTCTTACAGGCGGAAAAGGCTTGCCAAAAGAAAAAAAAAACACACCACAACATCTCTCCTATTGGTGGAAAACTTCACCACAACAACCAATCCAAAATTATATGGTGACTGATTGACAAGGGGCGGGCGCTTACGTTCTTCCTGCAACATGAGAAGGGAGGGAGGGACTCTCAGCAGGGATGCAGTCTGGGACACGTAGTTGCAAACCTAGCGACTTTGTTGTTAGATTCAATGACTTTTCAGACCCCCTAACGACTTTTTTTTAGAAAGAAAGGGACTTTTATCGACTTCTTCTGGAGTTTAGAGACTCTGACATGAAGCAGGCTTTCCTTACTGAGGAGTTAGCAACGCTGCTAAGGGTGCAGAGCCACACATGCGCTCAGAGCTCTGCATGGGAGACTGAAGCTGACAGAGCTGCAGCAGTTAGCAGGTTTCACCCTCAGAGACCACCAGGGGTTCATGTTGAGGCATTTTAATTTTTTTTTTTTTTTTGTGCCATAGACACTGTCAGCACAATCTGCGGATACACTAACAAAAATGCTGCAAAAAACAAAGAATTATGGAAAAATTACACATGGACTGACATAGAGGAGGATCTACACAAGTTTTTTACATCATGTTTTACATCATGCATCATTTACATCATGTTTTTTTGTAGTGGCATAAAGAAAAAGTGACATTTGTGAGACTATACAGTGTTTTGTAAATAATTTTACAAAGAACGCCTGGGCCATTGCCTGCATTTTGATGTAAATAGAGGTAAATCACTATGTTCTTTGTTAAAAATTTGCATATGTTTTGAAGTTTACAATTTTTATTTGAAGTTTAAGTTTTAAAAACAGTTCATCACACATATTTGTGGTTTTCACAGTAAAAATGTTACTTTTTTCCACTCGGATTTTATGTTTTGTGTGTGAATTTGGGTCCATTGTGTAAATTCAGTATGTCAACATGATAAAATAACTGTAAATTCGCACAGGTGAGGTTGTGCTGAAAAAAATGATACCAGGCAAGGCACGTGAGTGTCAAATTTTGTGTCAATATGACAAAGCGTATAGGCGTGAATCTCAACAATATGTATTTTCACCTTAGGGGACAAGAAAAAATGGACTTTTTTCTCCTGCCATGGGGGGACGCTCTTTTGGGGAGTAAAAATTCCTTCACAAATGTGTTGATGGCTGGACATTGCATCATCCTAGAAAACTTGGAGGCCAGTGAGGACAAAAATAAAAAGTTATAAGACTTTTAAATATGTGGATTTTAGGGTTATCTTTGGCGCCCCCTAGAACCTAAACCGTGGGGTGCAGCGTCATGATTTGAATAACTTTTAATGGCCATGGGGTGTAGATTGGCCTGAGCAAATGTGGTGCCGGTGGAACGAAAGCCTTAGGAGGAGTTAGCGAAATTCCAATGTGTGCGGATCGGCAAAAAATGCGGAATAACCCTTTAACCGTACATTTGACAGATACGCGCGCATTGACTTTTTCGTAGATCTTATTGAGTTACATGTGTGTGTCAATTTTTGTGTCATTTTGACAAAGCGTATAGGCGTGACACTCAACAATGTGTATTTTCACCTTAGGGGACAAGAAAAAATGGACTTTTTTCTCCTGCCATGGGGGGGCGCTCTTTTGGGGAGTAAAAATTCCTTCACAAATGTGTTGATGGCTGGACATTGCATCATCCTAGAAAACTTGGAGGCCAGTGAGGGCAAAAATAAAAAGTTATAAAACTTTTAAGAATGTGGATTTTAGGGTTATTTTTGGCGCCCCCTAGAACCTAAACCATGGGGTGCAGCATCATGATTTGTACAACTTTGAATGGCCATGGAGCGTAGATTGGCCTGAGCAAATGTGGTGCCGGTGGAACGAAAGCCTTCGGAGGAGTCAGCGAAATTCCAATGTGTGCGGATCTGCAAAAAATGCGAAATAACCCTTTAACCGTACATTTGACAGATACGCCCGCACTGACTTTTTTGTAGATCTTATTGAGATACATGTGTGTGTCAATTTTTGTGTAAATATGACAAAGCGTACAGGCGTGACAGTCAATAGTGTGAATTTTCACCTTAGGGGGCGCTATGGAGCCATTTTGTATTTTATTGTTTGGGCGATTTCAGAATATCGAATTTTTCACCAGGCCCGGTCGTCCTGCCAAATTTCCTGAGTTTTCGCCAGTGGGAAGTGGGCCATTTTCCAGTTTAAAGCGGAGGAAAAATAATAATAATAATAACAAACTAGGGCCCCGTTGGGGCACTGGCGGGCCCGAGCCGCGTCGCGCCACCTCCAGCGCGACCGCCTCCCTGATCCATTAGGTTTAAATAGAAAAAGCATTAAAATATGTTAGGATTATAGCATATGACAAATGTGTGCCTCTCAGTGGCCATAACTACTTTGTCTGCTGGCTCTGCAGTCGATTGACGCTCCCCAGCGTTCAAGTCACATGACAAATTTAACCGGATGTAGCTGCAAGACGGAGCTTCGTTGACTCTCTGTTTCAAGTTATCTCCAAAGTGAGGACCTTAAACTATATACCAGTTTTTAAATTGTGTTGATAGGCCAAATAAAACCAGAGTTATGATAAATTATGTCTGCGATACTTTTTTTCTGCTTATTTTGATCACGTTCGGCGCTCGATCGCGCTGTATGAGACAGGAAAACATAGCATGCAGACATTAGCGGCAGCTCTTACAGGCGGAAAAGGCTTGCCAAAAGAAAAAAAAAAAAACACACCACAACATCTCTCCTATTGGTGGAAAACTTCACCACAACAACCAATCCAAAATTATATGGTGACTGATTGACAAGGGGCGGGCGCTTACGTTCTTCCTGCAACATGAGAAGGGATGGAGGGACTCTCAGCAGGGATGCAGTCTGGGACACGTAGTTGCAAACCTAGCGACTTTGTTGTTAGATTCAATGACTTTTCAGACCCCCTAACGACTTATTTTTTTAAAGAAAGGGACTTTTATCGACTTCTTCTGGAGTTTAGAGACTCTGACATGAAGCAGGCTTTCCTTACTGAGGAGTTAGCAACGCTGCTAAGGGTGCAGAGCCACACATGCGCTCTGAGCTCTGCATGGGAGACTGAAGCTGACAGAGCTGCAGCAGTTAGCAGGTTTCACCCTCAGAGACCACCAGGGGTTCATGTTGAGGCATTTTCAGTTTGTTTTATTGTTTTTTTGCCATAGACACTGTCAGCACAATCTGCAGTTACACTAACAAAAATGCTGGACAAAACAAAGAATTATGGAAAAATTACACATGGACTAACATAGAGGAGGATCTACACAAGTTTTTTACATCATGTTTTACATCATGCATCATTTACATCATGTTTTTTTTGTAGTGGCATAAATAAAAAGTGACATTTGTGAGACTATACAGTGTTTTGTAAATAATTTTACAAAGAACGCCTGGGCCATTGCCTGCATTTTGATGTAAATAGAGGTAAATTACTATGTTCTTTGTTAAAAATTTGCATATGTTTTGAAGTTTAAAAATTTTATTTGATGTTTAAGTTTTAAAAACAGTTCATCACACATATTTGTGGTTTTCAGAGTAAAAATGTTACTTTTTTCCACTCGGATATTATGTTTTGTGTGTGAATTTGGGTCCATTGTGTAAAAACAGTATGTGAAAATGATAAAATAACTGTAAAGTCACACAGGTGAGGTTGTGCTGAAAAAAATGATACCAGGCAAGGCAAGGTAAAAAATTTTTAAGAGGAAATATAAAGGTAAAATCTAAAGTAGTCAAAAACGGCCAATAGTGACTCCCAGTCTCCATAGACAAGTCCCTTTGGCGCCACTCAGTGGGCAAAACTACTTTGTCTGCTGTAATGTATATTTGGGTCATCTTTGGCGCCCCCTAGAACGTAAACCGTGGGGTGCAGCGTCATGATTTTTACAACTTTGAATGGCCATGGGTTGTAGATTGGCCTGAGCAAATTTGGTGTCATTGGGACGAAAGCCTTAGGAGGAGTTAGCGAAATTCCAATGTGTGCAAATCGGCAAAAAATACAAAATAGCCCTTTTACCGTACATTATACACATACGTGCTCTTTGACTTTTTCGTAGATCTTATTGAGATACACGTGATTGTCAAATTTTGTGTCAATATGACAAAGCGTTCAGGCATGACACTCAACAATGTGTGTTTTCACCTTAGGGGACAAGAAAAAATGGACTTTTTTCTCCTGCCATGGGGGGGCGCTCTTTTGGGGAGTAAAAATTCCTTCACAAATGTGTTGATGGCTGGACATTGCATCATCCTAGAAAACTTGGAGGCCAGTGAGGACAAAAATAAAAAGTTATAAGACTTTTAAATATGTGGATTTTAGGGTTATCTTTGGCGCCCCCTAGAACCTAAACCGTGGGGTGCAGCGTCATGATTTGTACAACTTTTAATGGCCATGGGGTGTAGATTGACCTGAGCAAATTTGGTGCCGGTGGAACGAAAGCCTTCGGAGGAGTTAGCGAAATTCCAATGTGTGCGGATCTGCAAAAAATGCGAAATAGCCCTATAACCGTACATTATACAGATACGCGCTCTTTGACTTTTTCGTAGATCTTATTGAGATACATGTGATTGTCAAATTTTGTGTCAATATGACAAAGCGTTCAGGCGTGACACTCTACAATGTGTATTTTCACCTTAGGGGACAAGAAAAAATTGACTTTTTTCACCTGCCATGGGGGGGCGCTCTTTTGGGGAGTAAAAATTCCTTCACAAATGTGTTGATGGCTGGACATTGCATCATCCTAGAAAACCTGGAGGCCAGTGAGGACAAAAATAAAAAGTTATAAGACTTTTAAGAATGTGGATTTTTGGGTTATCTTTGGCGCCCCCTAGAACGTAAACCGTGGGGTGCAGCGTCATGATTTGTACAACTTTTGATGGCCATGGGGTGTAGATTGGCCTGAGCAAATTTGGTGCCAGTGGAACGAAAGCCTTTGGAGGAGTTAGCGAAATTCCAATGTGTGCGGATCGGGAAAAAATGCGAAATAGCCCTTTAACGGTACATTTGACAGATACGCCCGAACTGACTTTTTTGTAGGTCTTATTGAGATACACATGTGTGTCAAATTTTGTGTCATTTTGACAAAGCGTACAGGCGTCAGGTGAATTTTCACCATAGGGGGCGCTATGGAGCCATTTTTCATTTTTTTGTTTGGGCGACTTCAGAATATCGAATTTTTCACCAGGCCCGGTCGTCCTGCCAAATTTCCTGAGTTTTCGCCAGTGGGAAGTGGGCCATTTTCCAGTTTAAAGCGGAGGAAAAATAACGAAAGAAGAATCCATCAGGAACAAGAGGGCTCTCGCAGCTGCTTAGCAGCTACGCTCGGGCCCTAACTAGGACCCCGTTGGGGCACTGGCGGGCCCGAGCTGTGTCGCGTCCCCCCCCCAACGCGCTGCCTCCCCGTCCCATTTGTGTCCTCTGGCCATCGCCCTCTCTGGTAACGCCCATCACTGCAAAGACCCTTTTCCTTCATCGGCGTTTGCTGTTCTTCCTGCCAGTGCGTGTTGCTTTCACTTACACTTGCCACAGCCAGCCTCGTGAGTGCCTAGCCTATTGGATATCACTGTCACCTACACAGGACAGTCATTACCTTTCTATTAATACTTTGTTTTTTAATTTCACATTAATTTCCATATTGTATAAACAACTGGAAAAAACTTGAGCCCCTGCCCCTGTATAATCATGTGCACGTCTCTGTTCTAGCTCTAAGGTGAATCTTCACTGCTCATGTTCTCCTCAGAAGCAGTCACCTCACTCCCCTCAGGTTACTGTACACATGCACCAACTGCCTGCTTCAGGTTTGGATGGAGCTTCATGGTTGTCTTTTGGAGAAATGACCAGTCAAGTTGTGTTTGAAATTTGATTTTTTTCAGGGGCAAAAGGAGCCTCTGCATTCTTGTCAAATATGTAAATAGCATGTTTTTGCAGGTGCTAAAAACCAGACTCTGAGTGTGTGTGTGTGTGTGTGTGTGTGTGTGTGTGTGTGTGTGTGTGTGTGTGTGTGTGTGTGTGTGTGCGTTCAAGTCACATGACATATTTAACCGGATGTAGCTGCAAGACGGAGCCTCGTTGACTCTCCGTTTCAATTTATCTCAAAAGTGAGGACCTCAACCTATATACCAGTTTTTAAATTGTGTTGATAGGCCAAATAAAACCAGAGTTATGATAAATTATGTCCACAATACTTGTTTTCTGCTTATTTTGATCACGTTCGGCGCTCGATTGCGCTGTATGAGACAGGAAAACATAGCATGCAAACATTAGCTACAGGTCTTACAGGCGGAAAAGGCTTGCCAAAGAAAAAAAAAAACACACCACAACATCTCTCCTATTGGTGGAAAACTTCACCACAACAACCAATCCAAAATTATATGGTGACTGATTGACAAGGGGCGGGAACTTACGTTCTTCCTGCAATATGAGAAGGGAGGGAGGGACTCTCAGCAGGGATGCAGTCTGGGACACGTAGTTGCAAACCTAGCGACTTTGTTGTTAGATTCAATGACTTTTCAGACCCCCTAACGACTTTTTTTTAGAAAGAAAGTGACTTTTATTGACTTCTTCTGGAGTTTAGAGACTCTGACATGAAGCAGGCTTTCCTTACTGAGGAGTTAGCAACGCTGCTAAGGGTGCAGAGCCACACATGCGCTCCGAGCTCTGCATGGGAGACTGAAGCTGACAGAGCTGAAGCAGTTAGCAGGTTTCACCCTCAGAGACCACCAGGGGTTCATGTTGAGGCATTTTCAGTTTTTTTTTTTTTTTTGCCATAGACACTGTCAGCACAATCTGCAGTTACACTAACAAAAATGCTGCAAAAAACAAAGAATTATGGAAAAATTACACATGGACTAACATAGAGGAGGATCTACACAAGTTTTTTACATCATGTTTTACATCATGCATCATTTACATCATGTTTTTTTGTAGTGGCATAAATAAAAAGTGACATTTGTGAGACTTTACAGTGTTTTGTAAATAATTTTACAAAGAACACCTGGGCCATTGCCTGCATTTTGATGTAAATAGAGGTAAATTACTATGTTCTTTGTTAAAAATTTGCATATGTTTTGAAGTTTACAATTTTTATTTGAAGTTTAAGTTTTAAAAACAGTTCATCACACATATTTGTGGTTTTCACAGTAAAAACGTTACTTTTTTCCACTCGGATTTTATGTTTTGTGTGTGAATTTGGGTCCAATGTGTAAATATAGTATGTCAAAATGATAAAATAACTGTAAATTGACACAGGTGAGGTTGTGCTGAAAAAAATGATACCAGGCAAGGCAAGGTAAAAATTTTGTAAGAGGAAATATAAAGGTAAAATCTAAAGTAGTCAAAAACGGCCAATAGTGACTCACAGACTCCACAGACAAGTCCCTTTGGCGCCACTCAGTGGGCAAAACTACTTTGTCTACTGTAATGTATATTTGGGTCATCTTTGGCGCCCCCTAAAACGTAAACCGTGGGGTGCAGCGTCATGATTTTTACAACTTTGAATGGCCATGGAGTGTAGATTGGCCTGAGCAAATTTGGTGTCAGTGGGACGAAAGCCTTAGGAGGAGTTAGCGAAATTCCAATGTGTGCGAATCGGCAAAAAATGCAAAATAGCCCTTTTACCGTACATTATACAGATACGCGCTCTTTGACTTTTTCGTAGATCTAATTGAGATACACATGATTGTCAATTTTTGTGTCATTTTGCCAAAGCGTACAGGCGTGACAGTCAACAATGTGTATTTTCAACTTAGGGGACAAGAAAAAATGGACTTTTTTCTCCTGCCATGGGGGGGCGCTCTTTTGGGGAGTAAAAATTCCTTCACAAATGTGTTGATGGCTGGACATTGCATCATCCTAGAAAACTTGGAGGCCAGTGAGGACAAAAATAAAAAGGTATAAGAAATTTAAAAATGTGGATTTTTGGGTTATCTTTGGCGCCCCCTAGAACGTAAACCGTGGGGTGCAGCGTCATGATTTGAATAACTTTTAATGGCCATGGGGTGTAGATTGGCCTGAGCAAATGTGGTGCCGGTGGAACGAAAGCCTTTGGAGGAGTTAGCGAAATTCCAATGTGTGCGAATCGGCAAAAAATGCGGAATAACCCTTTAACCGTACATTTGACAGATACGCGCGCATGGACTTTTTTGTAGATCTTATTGAGATACATGTGTGTGTCAATTTTTGTGTCATTTTGACAAAGCGTACAGGCGTGACACTCAACAATGTGTATTTTCACCTTAGGGGACAAGAAAAAATGGACTTTTTTCTCCTGCCATGGGGGGGCGCTCTTTTGGGGAGTAAAAATTCCTTCACAAATGTGTTGATGGCTGGACATTGCATCATCCTAGAAAACTTGGAGGCCAGTGAGGGCAAAAAATAAAAAGTTATAAGACTTTTAAATATGTGGATTTTAGTGTTATCTTTGGCGCCCCCTAGAACCTAAACCGTGGGGTGCAGGGTCATGATTTGAATAACTTTTAATGGCCATGGGGTGTAGATTGGCCTGAGCAAATGTGGTGCCGGTGGAACGAAAGCCTTCGGAGGAGTTAGCGAAATTCCAATGTGTGCGGATCGGCAAAAAATGCGCAATAACCCTTTAACCGTACATTTGACAGATACGCCCGCACTGACTTTTTTGTAGATCTTATTGAGATACATGTGTGTGTCAATTTTTGTGTCATTTTGACAAAGCGTACAGGCGTGACAGTCAATAGTGTGAATTTTCACCATAGGGGGCGCTATGGAGCCATTTTTCATTTTTTTGTTTGGGCGACTTCAGAATATCAAATTTTTCACCAGGCCCGGTCGTCCTGCCAAATTTCCTGAGTTTTCGTCAGTGGGAAGTGGGCCATTTTCCAGTTTAAAGCGGAGGAAAAATAACGAAAGAAGAATCCATCAGGAACAAGAGGGCTCTCGCAGCTGCTTAGCAGCTACGCTCGGGCCCTAAAGAAGAATCCATCAGGAACAAGAGGGCTCTCGCAGCTGCTTAGCAGCTACGCTCGGGCCCTAATAATAACACTAGGGCCCCGTTGGGGCACTGGCGGGCCCGAGCCGTGTCGCGCCGCCCCCAACACGACCGCCTCTCCCTACCGATCGCGTCACACTCAAGGTCCAAAGATGGTGTGCGCACTTGTCTGTGGTCATTTACAATTATAATGAATGGGAGGCGCAGTTTCTACCAAAATGCTCGCCGCAGACAAACTACATGTCCTATTTGAAAAGGACTGGACCATGAGTGAGGGCACAAACACAGCTAGGATATATCCAAATGGCAAGTTGCTCCTCCTTTCGGTTTTGCCATGAGAGCGATGTGTTTGAGTCATTGAGCGATGGGCAGGAAAAACTTGACTTTTTCTCCTGCCATGGGGGGGCGCTCTTTTAGGGAGTAAAAATTCCTTCACAAATGTGTTGATGGCTAGACATTGCATCATCCTAGAAAACTTGGAGGCCAGTGAGGACAAAAATAAAAAGTTATAAGACTTTTAAGAATGTGGATTTTTGGGTTATCTTTGGCGCCCCCTAGAACATAAACCGTGGGGTGCAGCGTCATGATTTTTACAACTTTGAATGGCCATGGGGTGTAGATTGGCCTGAGTAAATTTGGTGTCAGTGGAACGAAAGCTTTAGGAGGAGTTAGCCACATTCCAATGTGTGCGAATCGACCAAAAATGCGAAATAGCCCTTTAACCGTACATTTTACAGATACGCGCCCATTGACTATTTCGTAGATCTTATTGAGAAACACGTGATTGTCAAAGTTTGTTTCAATATGACAAAGCGTACAGGCGTGACACTCAATAATGTGAATTTTCACCTTAGGGGGAAGAAAAACTGGACTTTTTTCTCCTGCCATGGGGGGGCGCTCTTTTGGGGAGTAAAAATTCCTTCACAAATGTGTTGATGGCTAGACATTGCATCATCCTAGAAAACTTGGAGGCCAGTGAGGACAAAAATAAAAAGTTATACGACTTTTAAGAATGTGGATTTCTGGGTTATCTTTGGCGCCCCCTAGAACGTAAACCGTGGGATGCAGCGTCATGATTTGTACAACTTTTAATGGCCATGGGGTGTAGATTGGCCTGAGCAAATTTGGTGCTGGTGGAACGAAAGCCTTCGGAGGAGTTAGCGAAATTCCAATGTGTGCGGATCGGCAAAAAATGCGAAATAGCCCTTTAACCGTACATTTGACAGATACGCCCGCACTGACTTTTTTGTAGATCTTATTGAGATACATGTGTGTGTCAAATTTTGTGTCATTTTGACAAAGCGTACAGGCGTGACACTCAATCATGTGAATTTTTCACCTTAGGGGGCGCTATGGAGCCATTTTGCATTTGATTTTTTGGGCGACTTCAGAATATCGAATTTTTCACCAGGCCCGGTCGTCCTGCCAAATTTCATGACTTTTCACCAGTGGGAAGTGGGCCATTTTCCAGTTCAAAGGGGCAGAAAAATAATAAGAAGAAGACTAGGACCCCGTTGGGGCACTGGCGGGCCCGAGCCGTGTCGCCCCCCCCCCCCCCAACGTGCTGCCTCCCCGTCCCATTTGTGTCCTCTGGCCATCGCCCTCTCTGGTAACGCCCATCACTGCAAAGACCCTTTTCCTTCATCGGCGTTTGCTGTTCTTCCTGCCAGTGCGTGTTGCTTTCACTTACACTTGCCACAGCCAGCCTCGTGAGTGCCTAGCCTTTTGGATATCACTGTCACCTACACAGGACAGTCATTACCTTTCTATTAATACTTTGTGTTTTAATTTCACGTTAATTTCCATATTGTATAAACGACTGGAAAAAACTTGAGCCCCTGCCCCTGTATAATCATGTGCATGTCTCTGTTCTAGCTCCAAGGTGAATCTTCACTGCTCATGTTCTCCTCAGAAGCACTCACCTCACTCCCCTCAGGTTACTGTACACATGCACCAACTGCCTGCTTCAGGTTTGGATGGAGCTTCATGGTTGTCTTTTGGAGAAATGACCAGTCAAGTTGTGTTTGAAATTTGATTTTTTCAGGGGCAAAAGGAGCCTCTGCATTCTTGTCAAATATGTAAATAGCATGTTTTTGCAGGTGCTAAAAACCAGACTCTGAGTGTGTGTGTGTGTGTGTGTGTGTGCGTGTGTGTGTGTGTGTCTGTGTGTGCGTTCAAGTCACATGACATATTTAACCGGATGTAGCTGCAAGACGGAGCCTCGTTGACTCTCCGTTTCAACTTATCTCAAAAGTGAGGACCTCAACCTATATACCAGTTTTTAAATTGTGTTGATAGGCCAAATAAAACCAGAGTTATGATAAATTATGTCCGCGATACTTTTTTTCTGCTTATTTTGATCACGTTCGGCGCTCGATCGCGCTGTATGAGACAGGAAAACATAGCATGCAGACATTAGCGACAGGTCTTACAGGCGGAAAAGGCTTGCCAAAAGAAAAAAAAAACACACCACAACATCTCTCCTATTGGTGGAAAACTTCACCACAACAACCAATCCAAAATTATATGGTGACTGATTGACAAGGGGCGGGCGCTTACGTTCTTCCTGCAACATGAGAAGGGAGGGAGGGACTCTCAGCAGGGATGCAGTCTGGGACACGTAGTTGCAAACCTAGCGACTTTGTTGTTAGATTCAATGACTTTTCAGACCCCCTAACAACTTTTTTTTAGAAAGAAAGGGACTTTTATCGACTTCTTCTGGAGTTTAGAGACTCTGACATGAAGCAGGCTTTCCTTACTGAGGAGTTAGCAACGCTGCTAAGGGTGCAGAGCCACACATGCGCTCAGAGCTCTGCATGGGAGACTGAAGCTGACAGAGCTGCAGCAGTTAGCAGGTTTCACCCTCAGAGACCACCAGGGGTTCATGTTGAGGCATTTTGAATTTTTTTTTTTGTGCCATAGACACTGTCAGCACAATCTGCAGTTACACTAACAAAAATGCTGCAAAAAACAAAGAATTATGGAAAAATTACACATGGACTGACATAGAGGAGGATCTACACAAGTTTTTTACATCATGTTTTACATCATGCATCATTTACATCATGTTTTTTTGTAGTGGCATAAATAAAAAGTGACATTTGTGAGCCTATACAGTGTTTTGTAAATAATTTTACAAAGAACGCCTGGGCCATTGCCTGCATTTTGATGTAAATAGAGGTAAATCACTATGTTCTTTGTTTAAAATTTGCATATGTTTTGAAGTTTACAATTTTTATTTGAAGTTTAAGTTTTAAAAACAGTTCATCACACATATTTGTGGTTTTCACAGTAAAAATGTTACTTTTTTCCACTCGGATTTTATGTTTTGTGTGTGAATTTGGGTCCATTGTGTAAATTCAGTATGTCAACATGATAAAATAACTGTAAATTCGCACAGGTGAGGTTGTGCTGAAAAAAATGATACCAGGCAAGGCACGTGATTGTCAAATTTTGTGTCAATATGACAAAGCGTATAGGCGTGAATCTCAACAATATGTATTTTCACCTTAGGGGACAAGAAAAAATGGACTTTTTTCTCCTGCCATGGGGGGGCGCTCTTTTGGGGAGTAAAAATTCCTTCACAAATGTGTTGATGGCTGGACATTGCATCATCCTAGAAAACTTGGAGGCCAGTGAGGACAAAAATAAAAAGTTATAAGACTTTTAAATATGTGGATTTTAGGGTTATCTTTGGCCCCCCTAGAACCTAAACCGTGGGGTGCAGCGTCATGATTTGAATAACTTTTAATGGCCATGGGGTGTAGATTGGCCTGAGCAAATGTGGTGCCGGTGGAACGAAAGCCTTAGGAGGAGTTAGCCACATTCCAATGTGTGCGGATCGGCAAAAAATGCGGAATAACCCTTTAACCGTACATTTGACAGATACGCGCGCATTGACTTTTTCGTAGATCTTATTGAGTTACATGTGTTTGTCAATTTTTGTGTCATTTTGACAAAGCGTATAGGCGTGACACTCAACAATGTGTATTTTTACCTTAGGGGACAAGAAAAAATGGACTTTTTTCTCCTGCCATGGGGGGGCGCTCTTTTGGGGAGTAAAAATTCCTTCACAAATGTGTTGATGGCTGGACATTGCATCATCCTAGAAAACTTGGAGGCCAGTGAGGACAAAAATAAAAAGTTATAAGACTTTTAAATATGTGGATTTTAGTGTTATCTTTGGCGCCCCCTAGAACCTAAACCTTGGGGTGCAGCGTCATGATTTTGATAACTTTTAATGGCCACGGGGTGTAGATTGGCCTGAGCAAATGTGGTGCCGGTGGAACGAAAGCCTTCGGAGGAGTTAGCGAAATTCCAATGTGTGCGGATCGGCAAAAAATGCGGAATAACCCTTTAACCGTACATTTGACAGATACGCGCGCATTGACTTTTTCGTAGATCTTATTGAGTTACATGTGTGTGTCAATTTTTGTGTCATTTTGACAAAGCGTATAGGCGTGACACTCAACAATGTGTATTTTCACCTTAGGGGACAAGAAAAAATGGACTTTTTTCTCCTGCCATGGGGGGGCGCTCTTTTGGGGAGTAAAAATTCCTTCACAAATGTGTTGATGGCTGGACATTGCATCATCCTAGAAAACTTGGAGGCCAGTGAGGACAAAAATAAAAAGTTATAAGACTTTTAAATATGTGGATTTTAGTGTTATCTTTGGCGCCCCCTAGAACCTAAACCTTGGGGTGCAGCGTCATGATTTTGATAACTTTTAATGGCCAAGGGGTGTAGATTGGCCTGAGCAAATGTGGTGCCGGTGGAACGAAAGCCTTCGGAGGAGTTAGCGAAATTCCAATGTGTGCGGATCGGCAAAAAATGCGAAATAACCCTTTAACCGTAATTTTGACAGATACGGCCGCACTGACTTTTTT